ATCATATGGAATATGGAAGTAAAGTAGTAAAAGAAAAAATGCAGTATTCTCAATTTATTGTTTAAAGAAACATTTGCAAAGTGGATGCTAACTGTATAAAATTTAATGTTGTCAGACATCAAACTTGTAAATTGAAAGCAACTTTTTGTTATCAAGTTAAAAAGCAACTTTTTTTTACAACTTACAATAATTTATCGTATATGAAATAAAAAATGTATCTATTACAAATTAGATATTTCCTTTTTGTGCATTCTCAGATCATTTTATCAATTTCTACTTTTATTATCTGTATAGAGTTTGCACATACTTTAAATGATTTTCTAAGAAATTAGAAACTTTTTCTTTTCTTAAATGTTGGATATTTGTTTCAAAAAGTTTCACTTACATATGTGTATATACATACATACTTATATAATTACTATACACGCATATACATGTATGTATGTGTATTGAATTGACCTTTATTGTTTGTTTTCATTTTTAATTTCTATGGCTATTTTTACTCTTTCTTTTTTGTTTATTTCAATTAAATTGTGCTATATAGCTACTCATTTTATTTTCATCTTCATTTCTAATCTTCTTCTTAAATTTAAAACATTAAATTGGTCATTTATTTGTTATGCTGGTGAACCTCTCATCGCCATCCATTAATTTCATGAAATTTATGCACTCAGTTTACTAATTAATTTTAGAAGTGCGTTTTTTTTTTAGTTTTTATGTTTTAAAGAGCAATCTTATCTTATAAAATAAAATGTAATGTCGACAGCACCAAATAAATTAAAAATATTGTATACTAAGTAAATCTGCAAGACGGGAAGAACAATTAAAAATTAATTCCCTTAGGTCACCAACCTGAAACTTTACTGATTTTGCTTTTACTGAATGCTGATTGAACGTTGATTCTTTTGTTAAAAGCAAAAATCAAAAAAATATTGGATCATTTGTCCTCAAAACTTCAACATCCCGCTAACTGATGAACCGGCATATGAATGAAATCAGGTTACTGCTAAACATCAGACTAAGTCTACGAGTTATTATAAGGTAAAATATGATTAGAATTCTTTTGCACATCAGACCCATTCTAAACGTTTTTGTTAATCTTTTGGACAAATATTTTAAGTATTTTCAGTGACCATATAAGATTAAAAGCAAATAAAAAAACAGCAGGATCGCTGTAAAATTTTTATACCCCTACGAACGTATTTTCGAATAGTGTAATTAATTTGCCTTACCGTTTGTAACTCTAAGAAATAATGGTCTGGGATATAGACTAAAGCACATGTTTTTGACAAGCAGCATATTTGGATTTGATTTAACTATGTGTCTGCCCGTCCGCCCCAGCGATAACTCAAAAATAAATTGAGCTAAGCTCACCAAATTTTCAAAAATATTTATTATAGTAAATGCTGGAATCCTACTTAAATTGGATATTATCGAGGTACTGGTTCGGGTAGCTATCATACAATTCATCATTGTTATCATACAACAATCATTTATTCGTACGGGTATCACAGAGCTGACACGGTCCACTATATCCTATTCTCGTTACTTTTTAATTTTAATTTGTGCTTCATTGCTTTTAAAAATTTGACAAAAAATCTGTTGATAATAGATTTTGATTACAAATCAGATTTTCATCAGATTTATTCTGATGTGTAAGACGCAAGTTAGAGTTTTGTTGTTTCTTATATAAGTTGTATGTAAGTTTGTCATTAAAATTCTTCCATTGCATGTAAAGCAATCTAAATACTATACTGCCGTATTTTAGTTTTAAACATTGCCACATAAATCGATTCTTTATATTTGAAATCGATTCCTCTTTAATAGATAAACTTACAAATATTTATATATTAGCTATGATGATTGCCTCTTGAATTTTAATAAGCAACATAAAATGACAAAATAATTTCAATTTTATTCGTCTAAAACTCTTCAAGATACGTGATATTTACTCCTTTTTGTATTCACACCTTTCGGATGGTCTCACTATACTGCAAAAATTCAATTATATTATTATATTGAAGACTTTCTTTTTGATTTAAAGAATTAAAGAAATGCCTTAATTTAACACAATAATTGTAAAAAAAAAAACATTTATGGGAAAAAAAATATATTGACTTCAAATTTAAATTTTCTTTTTTACTTATAGGTGACAATAATGCCATAAAAATCATTTTAAGAATTTAAGAAAAGTGAAAATTGAATAAAACTTAAAAAATAAAAAATAAAATGCGTAAACTGTGTAGGTACTCGGAAATAATATTACAATTTTAAAATGCGTGAAGATTTTAGGTAAAAGAAATCACAAAAGAAGGTAAAATAAATTATGAAATTGATCGTGTCAACTCTGTGGTATTCGTACATATATTTTCGAAATGTTAGAGCTAGAAAAAGTACCAATACAAAAGTTACTAATTATGTTTTTAAGTCATAGTCTTCTCATCAAATTTATTTGTTTGGCATTTGCAACAGTTGTAGTCTATTGAGCATATTCGTTTCTATTTTGAGCACTCGATATAATTTTTATTAAATATAGTTCGTTCAATAACTGCTCTCAGAATCTCGTAAAATTTCGATTTGTCTAGCTTAATTATTTCGTTTTCGATCTATCATTATATGGAACAGAAAGCTCAGAATTTGAGACTTAATAATAATACAGAATAAACATACATAGTGTACATATAGGTACATATTATGTCATTATTTTTAAGTGTTAAAAAACGCTGTTTTAATTTCTAATGCTCTTATATTATTAATATATGACTGTTTGTACAGATTTCAACTAGTTATGTACACTATTTTTAATAATCCATGTCAAAAGTTTCATGCTATAATGCATATCATATAAAAGCTTCTAATATGATTTTATCTAAAAGTGTTATCGTTTGCAAGTGGTTATGTGTGTTTACAAATTTATTGAATAAAGTGAATAATATATTAGATTAAAACCAATATATTAGATTAGATTAAATTCCAAAAGGTGGAGGTTATCCGTCAGATCACCGCAGTCATGAAGATTTTTTCTAACATCCCGCAAAAACTGGAAGACTTTTGTCTCGTATCCAAGTGGAAATTCCAGTGTATTTCTCTATCAAGTTTAGCTCCAAAATACTTGCCAGCACCCGAAATTTTAATCCGCTTGCCGAATTTGGCTTACCTAACAAGTCCAGCTTCCACCCACTCGGAAAAAGCACATAAAGCACTCGGAAATTTTGTATAAAATTAACGCAGTCTTCAACAGATATGACAACTACCAAATCGTCTGCATAAACCTGACAGTTAAACTCATTCCTATGCAGTTGGCTCAGCAACTCATCAATCACGAGGCGCGACTTTGCTTTCCAGCATGCATTTAGTCCACTATATTCTTGAAAATTGTAAAAGATAAATTATTTAACTTAAATGGAAATTTCTTCGTGCAACTGCAGAACAAATGGATGACGTAATCAAAGGAACGAGTTGAAGGCAGAAAAATTAATTAAAAAATTTTTCTCCTCGAACTGGACTCGAACCAGTGACCTAACAAGAACAAGAAAATATAGGATTGTGCCTATAACACTAATTATATTATGAATTTTACTAATGCAACATCATAGTTGTGAAATTAATAAGTACGTGCTTATTACACAAATAATTTATCTTATTATTGATAAATTCTATTCTCTTAAGTTCTGGCATTTTAAAAAGAAAATTGAATTTCAATATGCATAATGTTAAATATTATTTTCTATAATTAAATTTTAATGAATTTAGGAGAAATTCTATTTGAAATTTTGAGAAATTTATGAACACCATGTTTTTTTTTTTTCTTTATGTATAATTAAATTTATTGATCTAATTTATTAATAAATTTCTAAATAATTTAGTTTTTTTCTTTTTCCTTTTTATTTCCGAATATGATATCGCAAAATGAAAAAATACCAAAGATAGTAAAAATTCACAGTAATAAATGAATATAAATAAATCAAATGCTTTCCTCTTTTACTTTTTTCTTACTACTAACATTATTATGCATTTTTGCTCTAATTACAAAGTTTAAAAAATGTAGATTCCATGAAATTTTCATAGAGATAAACTGTAGATGTACATATGAATATGTTAAGTATATATAAAATAATACCGGAGTATGTATGTATAGATTATTAGTTTGTAATGTTAAATTCAATTATATTTTACAATAAAATATTGACTATTTACTAGATATAACTTGTATGCATCTGTAACAAGATCTTATTTTACAAGAAATCACATGCAACTTTCCCATTTTTGCCATAATGTATATTTGACAAAACAACAAAGTGCACAATGCATAATAATGAAAAAAATCCATATTATAAATATTCTCAAAAAAATATTGTTTTGATATATGTATGTGTGTGTGTGTATGAACATACACTACAATACATATGATTGTATAAATAATAATTTTGGTTATTTAATATTACATTAAGAAAGTTATTTTCTATATGTATGTACTCGTAAACTATTGATTTTAAGCAAGTTTTTGATTAAAATTTTTTTAATATAATATAAACAGCAGTATAACAATTAACATAAAAGTATTTAAGTAATATTTAAGTAATTCATAAGTATGATCTTAAACATTACCGAGATAAAATGTTGACGAATTTCACTTGATAATTTTTTTTTTGTGTTCCTGTTACTCCGAAAGGGCTGACATCAAGTTGAAGTCTCCATTTTTCTCTATTCATCGCTGTTGCAGCACTGTTCTTCTCTATATTGTTCTGGCTCTACCTTTTGGCAATCCACTTCGATTTTCTTCAGGTAATTTGCTTTACTATAGGCTCTTAATTTTTTAGTTGCCGAACAGAATTAGAAATCTAGTTCCTAATTCTGTTCGGCCAGAATATCCGGAATATAATTCTTAGGTGTTTATTTATGAACACTTGCAATTTATTCTTGTTGGAATTGGTGAGTAGTCACGATTAGCAGTCATATATTAATTCTACACATGATTTGAATATACTCAACTTGGTATGTTATTTGCCAGTTGTACCATATGGAACGGAGTCTGTTCTAGCTTTATCTAGTCTATTCTGTACATCTTCATTAATACCGCATGTTGGCTTGATGTTACTTCCTAGATAACAGGAGTTAGCTGTACATTCAATGGACTGACCGTCTAGCTTGATTAGATTGTCATATACAGAGTGTATGTACATTGCTTTGATTTTGTTGGTATTAATTCTCCCTTGATACTACAATAATTTTTACTTGATAACTCAATAATTTAAAAAAAGTTGTAAAACTTTCTGGAACTGCTTTAATTCGGCGACAATCTTTTAAAAACATTTTTATAGAAAATTAGTCTAACATTTTAATTGTTAATAATTGTATCGAAATCAAAGGAGTAGAATCAATTACATTTAGTGAACGAATATTATTGAATATTATTATATTTCTAAGAAAACTGTAATAAAAATCTTCTATAACTTTTATAAAATTTCTTAAGTGATTTAATGCTACAATATTTGAAAGTGTTAGAGAATAAGTTTTGAAGTTCGGTTTGGACCAATTATTTGCAGTGAACAACACTAAAGATTTGGTTTGATTTTCAACATTTCAACGTTCTTCAAAAATGTAGATTATCATATTCCATAGTAACAATGCTCTTCAATTTCAGTTATTTGACTAAAATTTTTTGATCAGAACACTTGGCAAATATATTATATTTAATTTTTTCTTTTGCTTTTCAATATTTCAATTATTTTAAGGTGGCATGATTTTATTTCTTCAACACGTTTAATGCTTGCTTTCAATTAAGAATTGCTGCAAATACGACGAAAAAAAACTAACAAAATGAAAAAAAATTATGAAAATTCACGGCAACTAAAAAATACCGTCACAGTTTTTTTTTTTTGGATTTTCCTGTCATTCAATTAATTTGCATTTATTTATGTATGGTGTTAATCGTATACAACTTGTTAATTGTATCGGCGCAATCATTTTCCCGACAACAAAAAAAAAATTAAATGATTTACTTTATTATTTCCTATAAAGTAAGGACCTCATTGCAAATAATTTGTTCTTTTACCTTTTTTCTTTATATTTTAAATAATAAAATATAAAATTTTTCTAGACAGATTGCCGCTATTTATGAAATTTATTTCATAAATTGAAAATTTCTATTTATAATTAATGTTATACGAGACATAAAGAGTGCAAAAACTGCTACAAAACAGGTGTAAATGAATGATAATAAAGGAAAAAATGGAAAATAATTTTCATTTCCTTCTTTTTCTGTGTAATTAAATTTTTATTTTCTAGGTAAATATTGCTGTCTGAAAATAAATCATTTTATAAATTTCATCCATTTTTAGTTGGATGAAGTCAAAAGCAAAAGTTGACAATATTAATTTAAGAATTTTGTAAATTAGAAATTTCATTTCTATATTTATAAATAGTTTTAAAACTAGTGTTATCATAGAGTGTATGAATAGAGTATATTTACTACATTTACTGTTTTACTGTTGATATCTTTGCATTAATAAGTGAAGAAACAATGAAAGTTTTACATTGTTTTGCTTTAAATCGACAAATTTAAGAAACGGCTAGAATAGGCTGCTGTTTTACTTAAATTTTAAGTAATAAATTTTAAGGAATAAATTTTGAAAACTTCGTGAAAATACTAAGCTAACATGGCTTAAAACACAATATACTTATATACTGAAATGTAATTGATCTGATGTCCGTCATAAGCTGAAGCGTTTTACGTAAAGTCAGATTAAAATTCTAAAAAATTAGACGTGCCCCGGAAATTTAACGAAATTAATTTTTTGATCCCGCAAATATGCATTGGCTATTTAAAAAATTTTAATTTTAAAATGAAAATAAAAAAAAATAATTATTCTCCTTAATTTGTTATATTTGACTTAGATTTCTAAATGTATATATATTTTTTTGGTCAAATTAATTTTGCATAATATTATAACTTAAATTAATAATAAATAGAATAAATAAAAATAAATAAATAAATAAAATAAATAAGTAATAATAAATAGATTTTTTTTTTTAAAAGAAAAAAAAATATCAAAACTTTTCATAATATCATAATTAGATACAAGATACAAAATAATAATTATATACTATTTCAATTACTATGAGAAACACGCTATCTATACAATACAATTTTATAGTTATTACATTCTTATACACATATATATTTTTATATACATATTATATACACGTAATAAATTAATTGCTTTACAAAATATAGAATTTATTTATTTATTTTTTTTTCTTTTTACTTTCTCTTACTTGAATCTTTTGGTACATATGCACTATATGGTAAATTAAGATCTCTACCCCAACCTGAAGTATGACCACCGGATACAACAACTTCAGATTCTTTATGACCACCACCACTTAATAATTTTTTAATACCAATTATAGATGCTAATACCAATGCTAATTTTGATACAATTAATGCTTTACCAGCTAATAATGCTAATGCACCATATGCAATTGGTACAAATGTTCCACCTAATAATAATGGTATCATAATTAGAGCACCATGTCCTTTCTTCTTTTTTCTACCTTCTGAAGAACGTTCTTCAACTTCATCATTATCATCGAATTTTATCTGTAAAAAATTTAAAATATTTTTTAATTTCAAAAATTGCTTTTGTAAATTCTTAGTGGAAAATTATCGTTAATCTGAAGAGTATAGAGAAGAATATGGTAAGAAAATTTAATGCAATATGATTCATGCAATGAAATGACTCTGTATACTGAAAGATGGCAACTCTTTTGCTCCGAATCAAAATTAATTCTGTGTTTTTGAGACAAACTTATATTCTAAGTTTCAAAATTAAGTTTATTTATAATTTATCCAAGTTTGACCAAACATATGTGAAATTATAGAAAATTAAAATTTAAATTGATATTCAGAAAGGACCAAATTCGACAAACTAATTTTAAAAATTTGAACTTTAAATTTTGATAACAACATAAACAATTTTCACTCCTCTCCAAAAACCAACTTATAATTTTTCATGTGGTAGATAATTTTTATTAGAATTCATTGAATATTAATTCACTCATAGTTTCAATAAAATTTTACAAAAATTTATAAAAAATGTTCTTACCTGTAAAGTATGACTTTTAATAAAAGATTGTATTTTTGATAAGATCATATTATTTAAGGTTTCATCTTTTGCTTCTAATGATCTTGGTAAATTTGATATAATTTCATTTTCAGAAATTGGTAATTCAAGATTCTCTTGTACATTATCATCACGTATAAATTTAATACCACTTATTAAATTGAATTCTTTAATACTACGTGATGCTTTCTCTAAACCAGCTAATAATTTGATTTTTAAACAAACTGTTAAATCTTCTTTAGCACATTGCCTATAAACTTTATAAAATAATGAAAAATCATTCCAGAAATTATTTTCTGTTCCACCACTCATAAATGATGATACAGAATCTAAATTTTCATTTGAATCTTTATTATAATTTTCTGTATCTACTTGTATTCCATTTGATGATAATCCAGTTGGTAATGATGATGATGATGATGATGATGCAGATGATCTTCTATTTATAACACTATGATATTGATGATGATGATTATTTGCTGTACGTGCTAATATCATTGTTGATAATGATAATAAACAGCAAATTGAAATTAAATTTAAAAACATTTTTAATTTCTTTTTTTTTCTTTAAATTTCTTATTAACTATTTTTATTTTTATTAAATTTTTTCTTGGATTCGTTTAATGTTTTTTTTAATGATTCTTTTATAATATTTAAGACTCCTTTTTTTTAAAGGATAAATTAAAAAAAAAACCGTAATATTTTTATTAGAGCTGATTCAACAGCTCAAATATGACTGATAAAATTATTTTCGATCTAGAAATTTATATACCAACTAGTTAATTATTAGGTGAATTCTAATTGATTTAATTTAAAAATTGTACCAAATTAAAACACTTTTGCTTGAAGAAAGTTTCTTATAAAATATAAGAGAGAAACAAAAAAAAAACAAAAAAAATGAATCTATGTTAACATGAACTCAACGGAGCGATGCATCATGCATTTATTTTTTATAATTTAAATTTGTTTTAAAATTAATGTAAAATATTTTCATTAATAAAATTAGAAAAATTAATTTGAGACAACAAAAATAAAAAAAAAAAATAAAAACAAAATAAAAAATTCAAAAATAATCCAAACCATCCTGAGGTATACTTGTAGTAAAGCCTGACAAATTTCTTACGTAACAGGTTTTTTCCATTTCTATACGAACAGCAATTTAAGACTTGCAACTTCTTATGTTTCTTATATAAGTGCCGGAATTATTTACAAAAAATTGTAATTAAAAGTGAATTCAGTGGCTTCAAGCACAAACGACTTAAGTCTGTTTTAGTGATTTCGAGATAAATGCATTTTAAACTTTAAATTTAATTTTGAAAAAAGTTATGAAGTTTTTTGAGCCAATTTTTTTTTTGATCGAAAGATAATTAAAAAAGGAAGCGATTAACTCATAATCTGAAGTAAAACAACTAATAGTATTCTCTTAATTATGAAAAAAGAGAGATAGGCGGTTATACAAAATTTATAAAAAGTACTTTGCAAAGCATAACTCGACTTAGGCGATTTGTGAAAAATTACTTTTGCATTTTCGTCAAACTTAAGTCGACTTAAGCTGTTGTTGCAAAACTGAAAATATGGTTTTAGGTGACTTAAGTTATACTAAAAAGGGAAGAAATATATATATTATTTTTACGTTATGTGATTTTTCACTCTTTTTTCAAATCATTGTCATAAAAAACATAAATTGAGGTAAGAAATGAATAAATTTCAAGTAAAAATTATTTCTAAAAGTTAAAAATAATTTTTTCATTAAATTTAAAAAAGGTGACAGTATCTTTTATTCTCTCTCGGATTCTCCAACTAAATATGGATGAGTATCTGCTAAATCTCCAGTCTTTATCGTTTTGTGAAATTTGTAAATCAACAGATAAAAAAATTGCATCAAGTACTCTAAGTTTTTCTTTTTTGGTACTAATTTTCTCTTCTTCTTCAATTTGGAGCATGTGTTGAAAATCTAACTAGTTAACACCTCGTCTTAAAATATAAAAAATCTTTGTATAAACTGTTCTTGTAAAATATTTTTGGAAGTGAATTTTTTGAAATCTGTGGTGCGACTCTTTCCAGTTAAGAGAATTTCAAAAAGTAATTCAATTACAAAAAGGCTTCATTGTGCAACGGATCTGACAAAGTTGTTACATTATTGTAAAAATGAGCACATAAAGTAATTTCTAAAATGAGTTTATGAGTTTGGTGTTTGTTATTTTATTTATGTACTATAGTCCATATGACTTTCTTTCTTGTTCATAATGATACTAAATGCGAATTAATTAAAATTTTTAAATCGAAAACAAAATCAAATCGAGTGTGAGTCAATACAACTACTGTAATGAAAAGTCAAATTTGATAGTGAACTCGAACTCGTATAGAAAATAATAATTCGATACTTGTGAAAATTAAATCTTGGAGATGTATTATTAGTTACATATAGAAAATGGTTTGTTCGTCAGTTTTTCTCAAAGTTCTGCCGTAAACAGTATATAGATCTCCTTAAAAAGTTGTGGTAAAGTAAATTGGTTCGGAATTTGCTCTCCTATCATAGAGTATATAAGTATTTGATTATCAAATAAACAAAGAATATTGTAAGTTTGCTCGACATTTTTATTTTAGCTGTCAGCATTTACTTTTCAATTAAGACTCCATACAAATTAACCACGAGTCAGTTTCGAGCGTTCATGTACTTGAGTGCATTCAGGAAGCCCGGTCGCGAAAGATTAAGCGAATTTTCTAACCGTTCGGCAAATTGTAAAAGGATTTTTCTTAAAAGAATAAAAGTAGAAAGCCTTTCATATTTTTTTATCTCTACAGATATGTTCACATGCCCTATAGGACTCAAAAACTTGCTTTTGAAGGTTGTCAATTTTAAAATCAGGATCATTAATACAGTCACCACGACCAAAGTCAATTGCGGTTTTCAAAACTGTATTAACTTCGGTTTTCAAAGTAAGATCTGTAGTGTAAATACTTGTTTATTAACTATAGGACCAGTTTCGCTAATTTCTATGCTTTAAAACACACTGAATCCGTTACGTTAGTTTCAAATATATTGCAATACCTCTAACATCCGCCACAATCATCTCAGCTCTCCTAGCAAGTTCCAAAATTTTTAACGTACATTTATTAAGCGTGAATAAAGTTTATATTGGATAATTTTTGCATTATTTAACAATTTCCAACATCAGCACATTTAAAAACAATAATAAATAACTGTCTTTGTAAAAAATACTTCCTTCGAAATAACAAAAATATAATAAATATTTGAAAATCGAAGAAATTTAATCTTACGGAAATGAGTAATAAAAAGTATAACAAAATATTGTTATTCCCAGACGTACCAATTTTATTTATTGAAAACCCTTGCAAATTATAATAATTTGAATTTCCTAACAAAATGTGTTTTACTAGTGTATAATAAAAGTATTGCTTTGTAATACAATCATTAAAATAAAAACTCTTGTTAAACACAAAAATTTGATCTTCCTAATAACATGTGTTTTACAAGGGCGTAATAAAACAACACTTTCTTTAATAATACAATTAGACCACAAAGGCAAAACAATCTACCATCAGGTAGCTAGCCACGTGTCATTTTAACATGGGAACTTCGTCAATTGAAAAAAACATTTGTCGCAGGTAAATCACGAAATGAACTACAATATTATTTGTTAAATAAAAAAATTCAAATCTTAAACATGGGATATTTGGGTAATTAGAGCATTAAAAATGCAGGTAACTTGTGCAGATGTTTTATATTTTGGGTTAAAAAATACAACTATCTTACTTGTCGCTGAATGTAAGATTTAATTTTAACTATAGTGAACAAGTTTTAAATCACGGACATAAAATACCTACACTATATATCACATAAAATAAAATGTTAAGCGTTATAAAATATTTTTTATTATAAAAAACTAAAAAATATTCTATACTAATTATGCATTATTTTGAACACTAAACGCTTAATTTTGATGTTTTGTTCATACTTGCACGCGTTATAAAAACCTAACTCAACATAAGAAGCCTTTTGGAATATAATTGTATTTGCAATAATCGCCTAACTCGAGATGAGTTTAAAAAACTACCAATTTTTATTTTACACAAATCGCTTATGTCGAGTTAGTATTTAAAAAAACTCAAAATTAATTTTGCAACAAAAGCCTAACTCGAGATAAGCGGTTGTAAAAATTCATACAAATAAAAAAAAATGTCATTAATTTCGATTTGCAACAATAGCCTATCTCGAAATAAGTGGTTTGTCCAAAACATAAAAAAGATGTTTTCTGCTCTTAACTCGATTTAGGCGATTAGTGCAAGTGCATATGGTTGCCATTTCGAGTTAGGTCATGTGTGAATCCGACAATAACTCCGGCTGCAATAGTCGTAGAACCACCAAAATTTGTGAGCATATGAAACTCAAAACGGAGAATTCGCTGGTAAACATATCTCATTTTTGTCTTAACTCGAGTTAGGCGGTTTGTGTTTGAGGCCACTGAATTTTATTTCAAAGTGATGCTTTTGCAACACGAAAATAAAGACCCAAACGAGGACTTGTTATTTTAAAATATCTAAGCCAATCTTCAGTAAAATTTTTACTTTTACCTTTTTATGTATTTAAATATTATATAAAGGCTTAAATAACACAGGTATCATTTTATGCTTGTCATTTGAGACATATAGAATAATTGCTTTTGAAAGAAAATTCCTTAGTCTATTAATAGACACAAACATTTACTTCATACGCATAAGTATTCTAGACTTGCTTCTTAAAAGAACATGAAAACGCTATACACAAAGAATTAGATACAACTTTCTGATAATCCGAACGAAAACATTCAAGGTGTACGAACATTTAGTAGGGTATGCATCATTAAAAGCATAAAATCCAATATTTTGTCAAAGTTCATTCTTTGCAACAAGTTCTGCTTCCAGCCTCTATGTTGAATTTTTTTTTTTAATTTAACCAGATTTCAAATGAAGTAAGAGAATATTTTTCCGAAAAACAAGTTGAAAAACAAACATTTTTTTTGTCAAACATTTCGTCAAATTGAAAACTGAAAGCATTTTCGATATTATAAACGAAATTACACATCTTGTATACCTCTATACAATACTAGTTCCATTACATTTACCAAAATAAATTTATATAGTTTTAGTTGTGCAAAATTTGAACTATATCAAAGTTTATTTCTTCATATAATGTAGTTATAATAACCGCTACAATTGGATGGTAATTATAAAAACAAATTTAACAAGATATATTAAAAAGTTTTTTCAAATACAATGCGTGTATGCAATTTCCATTCCATTGTACCATTGGACCATTGCAAAGAGGTGATTTTCTTTTCTCAAAAACGAAAAAAAAAAAACTTTTGGAGTGCATAATATTTAGTACAAATAATATATACTGTGCACGTCTATCTCTGGAGAGTTATGTACCTCACATACATGCACACATACATGAAATTATCAAAGCATAATGCTGTATTTTTTTTCTTCGTGAA